GCTGCGCCTTGGCCTCTACTCACCGATGCTGAACCCGATCGAAAGCTGCTTTAGCGTCTTGAAGGCTCGCATCAAGAGCTACCTCGCCCTCCACACTTATGCTATATTCGAGCGTGGTGAGTATGGGACGTTTCTCGAACGACGAATGGTCTTACTTGAGGATGCTGCTCGCGCGTCGCTGCCATGCATCACGCAGCCGTTGGTGGTCCGCGAGGTCATCTTCTGTCAGCGCAACGTCGACAAAGCCATCCTATTGGAGAGCATGGTGTATGGTCAGTAGGCAGTTCATATTAAATGGAAAAAGTTCACATTGGCTTGGAAATTTGTGTGTTTTTAACCACCCACCGTTTTAAAAATGACGTTTCAAATGTTTTTTTGCCAACTTGATTGGAAAAAGTGCGCAACTTGATTGGGAAAAGGTGTAGTCATGCACTGACTGAGGTCTACTGGGTTTGCAACGTGGCAACATGGTGGAATCAAAAATGGGTGCATTTTAGGATTTTGTTCTACCTAGGTGTGTGCACTGAATTTGTGCAATTCTGTCTAAGTTTTAGTCAAATGTAACGAGTTTTATTAGTTAAAGCCAGACCTCATAAGACTATTATGTGACGTTATATGTGGAAGCAAATTCTCCGGAATATGATTAACAAAGTTGGATAACTTGGATGTTATATTTTGACGATTTTAATTCAAAGTTGCAATCAAAGAAATAGGATATCTCAGCGGCATTTCAATACAAACCACAAGTACTTCTCAAAATTTCATCAAAATTGGAGTAGTATTGATGAAGTTACGAAAATTCGGGAGCCTTTTCACCCAAACGTACGGTATCGCACTTTCAAAGAATGAAGGATCCACATTGAAGTTGAACTTGCAGTACGTACGGTGGTTAATTGAGTTTGAATTATCATTTGTTTACTCCGAGTAAGACATTTCTTCGCGTGGGCAATACTACAGTAGAACCACATGTTATGCAACCGCTTCGCCAATTGTAACGCGCCTGCTGGATCAGGGGCAGTGTGTAATCTTTGGTTTTTACATCGCGCAAGGTTCCATACCTCTTGCTTCGACCGATCACCTTCGTTTTCGAAGTTAGGGCCTCGTCCCCCTTGTTATCCGAGTTCCCCAGGGGAGGGACGGATAAATCCTTGCGGAAATAATCCGGGGAAGCTGGAGATCGAACCCACGACCTTTGAGTTAAGAAACCGATGCACTACCACTGAGCTATATTCCCACCCCCAGTACGTGAACTGGTTGTTCGTACTAATGCATTGCATCTGCTTGTTCGTTGCTTTCCCTATTCCTATCCAACGTTATCACCGACGACTACTGTAAGTATCGTTAATTTGATGAATACTTCGACGTAACCATTATGTGCAGCACCTGAATAGCGCCGTGGGATTCGCGATATTGAAGCACGCAAAGCATGCTGTCAGTCGAAGATATCTACTCTTGTATGCTCGTTGCAATCTCTTGCATCATTGACAAACTATATTATTGTTCTTTCCGGTTAAACTTGCCAATTGTGATCCATTGTGAAAATCGCCAACAAATAGCCCCAATGATTTCATTGGTTAGAATTTCGAAGATTTGGGCAGAAAATGGACATCCAACTTAGTTTTCCATAACTGCCTGGGCAGTACGACGAGGTGTGTCGCACATTGCGGTAGCGCGGGCGTCCAGTTGGTGTACTTGAGAAGTTTGTGTGGGGATACGAAGAAACTCACATACGAGGCCTACGCGCTCAGGTGTTAATGCTGCAAGATTGGATCTTCGGCCATTGACTCAGCTCAGGAAACTGCGTCATAATAGGGTGATTAGTAGCGATTGTTTTGTGGTCATTTCACGGTCATTCGGATTGGGGCAATTTAAGAACCGCCCATGGAAATATAGAGTAGAACACACAATACTAGGGAGAACGTCAATGACATGGGGAATGGTATAACGTTAGTAAGTACTACATACCATTCCCCATGTAGTACTACACTATTTTTCGTTTCCTGTTGACAAAAGTCGACGCTGTGAGGGGCTTCTGATGATATGTATCGATTATGAAAGGATTTTTCTCAGATTTTCACCTATTTTTATGCATAAAATGAAAAACGCGTTTATTAGATATGGAACTTTATTATGTAATACGGTGAAAAATGACTCATGTTGAAACGTTGCAACATCGCTTTAGCGAGAATATCAACATTGAAGATGTGTTTAAATGCGCACTTTGTAGTTTGGCCTGCGACCTACAATGTTCATATTAACTGTTTATCGCTAGCATTTATGCAGCAATAATTATTCCCAAAGGCCCCCTCACAGCTGTCGACCACTGTAAGTTGATTGATCGAAATTTTTTTCGAAAACCTCATTGGCTACTTCGTTCCGTCGATTACTGCGTCGATTTATCGAAAGAGATAGAACATCGTTTGAAATATACTTCGAAGTATTGAACATCGTGTGAAATATACCGGCTGTGGGGTGACATATACCGGACAATAGTCGAAATTTACTGCAACCACGTAGAGTCTGGACGAAAGATATTGAATGATTGGCGAACATACCTGGTAACACGCATGGCGTGAATCAGTTGTGCGTTGAACGAAATATACCGGAAATAACCTGAACTTAATCGAAAATCGGGAACAGCGCGTGTATCTTGAATTTTTGTATTGAGGAATAAAAATATGCACAATTTATGTTTATTTTATTGCTGTTCGCGATTTCGATGCGTTACAGTACCTTCCACCATTTTAGAAAATCACAACCCGTCATTCCGACTTTTATGACTGATCGCAATAATCCATTACAAACAACACATTCAGTTGTTTTATGATCTATTGTGCTTTGCACTTGTTTTGGCGTCGGTTTTACGTTGATAAAAGCGATGCACGTGAACTGTATCATCGTTACAAAGTTAAATAAAACACTAGTCTTTTGGACGTAACTACCTAGATATTTATGAAACCAAAATAATGTCGAACTATAATTCACACCGCTTCGTGAAGCCATGGCTCGAGATGCACTCGAAATGCCGACCGGAGTGACTGTGTCACTAAGCGTCAAAATTGGAGTGCCGCTCTGTAACAGCCGTAGCTATGCGAAGCAACCACCGACCAGTCTCATGTACGACACTGTTGAAGACTCCTTCGCGTCCCTCCGGTGTCGAATATCGGACCGAGTCCAGGCCATTGTTGTGCAATATGACGAGCTTCAAACGACGAAGAAGGTTAAATCAACGCTCAAAATCGAACCCGACTTCCTGGTGCTTGTCAAGCCATCACTCCACACCAAGCAGTCGAACTTTACCGTTGTACACGACGGCAATTTTATCGACACGGTCAAACTTGCATGGACAAATCACTGTATGAAGGCAACCCGAGGTGATTTCGCGCTCGAAGTATTCGAATATTTAGAGAAAATATATCGCAACCCGCAACAGCTTCATCGCGCAACAACTTCACGCAGGGCTGAAATGTCAGCTCGAATTCTTGCCGCGGACCGCGAACGTCAGTCTGGGCCTGCCACCCTTGAGTATTTGAGCTCGACCTTGGCTCGTCAAGTTGCTGAGCCTGATGTGGTCAACCTGCCCTCCAACGCAACCATTAGACAACTGGAGCATATCGACGATTCGAACGCGGACATTCAATGCGAGCGGCGACAACGGGCGGCGGCGTCCATGCAAGAATACCGTGAAGTCAGATTTCAGATCAACGACGACATTGTTCACATTCGGGTGAATGTGAGTGACTTTAGCACTTTGCTTGGACTACCTGGATACGATCTCTACGCTCCGTTTCGTGCTCCCATACCAACAACTGTACCATTGGATAACATTTCAGATTGTGATCATAAGGTCGACAGTGATTAATATATTTCAGCGAATTTCATAGCCAAGTGTGGATGGATATCAATTCCACAAGCCAGAAGTATAGAAGTATCATAGTACACTACAGTAATCTAATTTGTATGTGATATGTACGTAGTACGAAATATTATTCACAGAGAATGAATACTAATACTATTAATAATATGTGTGATAGTTATAATTAAAAATTAAACTTCTCGTCGTCTAAGTAACCATTTTCATATCCACAATGATGGCAGAGATTAAATCCCATTTGACTGGGAGATTCCGTCGATATCGTGGACTTGACCAATGCCACTTCTAAAGTCCTTCGTATGTCGTTGCGAAAAGCCAATGGGTACTTCAGAATCCATTTTTTAAGCTGTGCGAATGCAACTTCGATAGGGTTCAGTTGGGGACAATACGGTGGCAAAAAGAAAACCAAAGCACCACGCGCATGCACAGCAGCTTCCAACTCGCGGTACATGTGAATCTTGGCAGTATCCAGGATCAAAATCGACCTGGGCAAGGGCCACGGATTTAGGTATGGGATGACCTGTTCTATATTGGTGGTGGAAACGGTTGCGGTCGAAAGTCCCTGCTGTATAGTCCCACGAGATGAAGCCAGTGCTATCAAATGCAGCCAGTATGGACACGCGCTGGCCTCGAGCAAACGGTAGCGAAACAACGGCGGGTGTATTCCGCCTCGACCACGCATACTTGCGCACAGCGTCAAGTCCGTCTTTAGAAGTTTCATCGAGAAAGACCACCTGGCTTGGATGGCTGTAGAACGGTTCCAGGCGGGAACGATACATTTGGACTTCGTGCGCGCTGCTTTCTCGCGCTTGCTTTTCAAGGACCTTGGGTGTCAAATTGAGATCAAACCGGAGTGCTCGACATATCGTTGAAGTGCTGGTGTTTTGAAGCACAGGGAAATGAAACTTGAGTTCAGCTTGGAGCTCTTCTATGTAGAAGCACGGGTATAAGGTTGTGTACTGTTTTACAAACTGTATGACGTCTGAGCTCCAGCGGGAGCTGCGCTTTTCTCGAGTCTTCGTTCCAACGTAGCCAATGCTCTGAAACTGTTGGTTCCATGGCGTGATTGACCGAATTGACATGCCCAATACCGCGTGGATATCTTTGATATCGAGTCCATAGCGCAGTACGATGGATCTCCAGCGCATGTCTTTGCTATGTGTCATTTGAGAGTTCAAGGTCGGGATTACCAGGGAATTGTGCTCTTGGTGGTTTGAATAGCAGATGTAAGAACGAATTGGCAGATTCTGAATGTGCAAAAGCGTGGGAGTTGTGTAAATCACTGGTGGGTTGCCTTTGTAATTCACATAAACTCTCGACGTTGCACTTCCGTTACAAGGTAAATCACGGTACAAATGTTTCTTAAAGACTGGTGTTACTGTAACAAAGACTCAGTTTTGTCGTGTGAATAGCCAAAACGAGTGAAAAGTACAATAATAGGAACTATTAAATAGGGCTCGAATTATGTTTTCCTGCCATGCCTTTAGATTTGCGAAATTTCACGGATTTCCTGAGATATGTTGCGTCAAAAATTTGACTTGACACGACGCAAAAAGTGTTCACAGCTGTAAATCATATTTGAGCCAAACTAAGGATTGGTCTAACTTAACTGTAAATAGCCAATCATATTGTCGTGGCCGAACTGATGGGGTTGTTCAGTGGTTATAACCTTTTGCGTCGGTGCAAAAACGTATTTTTTTTCACTGATCACTCAATATTTTGAATTTTATTGCATGCAATTCAAAGCTAGAAATGCTTGTTTTTAGTAAACAAATCTGGGCATGTTTTTGGATTAATTTAATTTTTAATACTTTGGAATTTTTTTTAGAAAAGCATGGTGGTGATAACCTTTCGCGTCGGACTTAAGTATCGGCACTCGCAGAGGAATGAACACGTTTCCGGCTGTTTTGTTGTGAGGAGATTGTCGCATTGGATTCACCGTGGTTTGATTGGCAGCTGTGAAATCAGTCAAGTTTTGAAAAACCTGTGCACCATTATATAGAGACTTCCGTATATTTCCTTCCAGAGTATATGGTGGATAGATTTTTCAAAACTTCACCGCAGGTAGTCCCTCCCCAGGGGAATCCGGATAACAAGGGAGACGAGGACCGAACTTCCCAAGAAGATCGGTCGAAGCACGAGGTATGAAAAGTAAAAACCAAATATTACACACTGCCCCTGATCCAGCAGACGCGTTCAATTGGCGAAGCGGTTCGATACTAGTATCGGCCCCTTCTGCTTACTCAAGTATTCTTCTGTTACATTTCGATGTGTCGATTCCATTCCCATGTCGCTCCAGTTTTAGAATAAACACATCAATATGAACCCCAGCATACGGTACGTTTCGTTAAGAGAACGACAACCTTTGTACACCAACTAACTGTAAATAACGGCTGGTTGCGTATAGCGTAGTGATTGTCACGAAGCAAGAAACAAGAGGTAGGCGTAGGTCTTAGGCGTGTAGCGTTTGCGCAGAGGTAGGAGTCTTAAGAGCATCTCCAACGCAGGTCCCTATCCCAACTCTATATCTCAAAACTTCGGTTGTACCGTTACTTCATGTTACAGTACGGATAATTTGGGGCTTATCCGGGCGATTTTGTCCCCAAATTATGGGGATGTCCCCAAAATGTTCAGTTAAGTTATTGGGACATCCGAGCGAAATGGGGACAAAAACACCCGGATACATCCCCAAATTATCCGTAACTTCGATGATACCACTGTTGTAACAGATTTTGGGGATAGGGACATCGATATAGGGACTCCCGTTGGAGATGCTCTAACGGCTTCATTCTACCATCTCCTGCGCCTTCCTCTGCGCACGCTCACAGTTAATTTGACGAATAACCATTATGGTGCAGCATCTGAATAGCGCCGACG